TGGTTAAGAATGAATGGGTGATAAGAGAATAGTAGTGTTGAGTTGGAGATATGAGCAGGAGGTCACGAGGTAGTTTGACCTCTTAGATTTTGTGCTAAAAGAACGGTGGCTGTAAGACACAAGAAGAAAAAGGGACGATGTTGTTGTCAAAAATACGTGTTCCACATGCATTCTGCAAAATGTTATTATTCTAAATTACAGGTGCCATTAGGTTTAACTACTGAAACACTGCACAGAGATTACACTTCTATGGGGTATTAACTGCTAACACATAACATATTTAGATTAAACTGTAACCTAAAAGCTACTTTAAAATGCTTGATTTCACATAATTCTAAATAATGCTTTCCTGCACCCCATGGGCAATGACGTGTTTTAACATATTTCAGTTGGAATGACATGATATAAATACCTAGTTTAAATACCTTTTTCAGAACACTCAAAAACTACTGCAAAATTCAATCTTTCTTTTTTTAAGAATAGAAGATTCCACAGTTGCCAGTACTGGGAGCAAAAACTTGTTCTGTGCTACCTTACTACAGTTAATAAGCTATAAACAATATAGCTGCTAGCATCGCTATTGAGTAGGGATGTAACGATATCCTAATCTCACGGTGCGATATTATCACAATATACATCTCACTGTACGATATTTATTGCGATATTTTGGAGAGGCTAATATAATTGTAGAAAGGTTACTTGTTGCTTTTAAAATACTCTGACAAGACTTCGGTGTGAATCATTACTGTCACAATCCCAAGAATTCAAGTAAAAAACATATTTCTTCATGTTGTCTGCACTGAAATGAATCATGGGATATGTCGTTTCCTATGTTTATTAGCTGTTACTAAATAAAACAATGTTTTTTAAGCAACAGAACTTGTGATTCAGTATATAGTGACAGCCCATGATATTACTGAAAGACCTTTGACGATACTATATCACAACATTTCGGTTACTGTTACATCCCTAGGGTTGAGTGTATATTGTCTGTAAAAACACAGAGGAGCACCTTATGGATTGCCATCAGATGATGCCACAAAAATTATTCAAACTGATATTACATAAGTAGCTTGGCAAAAAGCTAAAAAAAGTGTATGTAGCATTTAAATCTATTTCTGGTCATAAGAGAGAGTCTTTGTGTAGCATATGCTACAGCTGTCATGTCACTGCTCGTACAGCAAAACATTTTTCATCCAACAAAGCTAGCATTTAACAGGGACATTACAAATAACTATTTATATTGCAGTAGCTCAGCTGGCAAATCATTTGCCCTCTGACCTGAAGGTTGCTGGTTTGATCCCTACTCCCGTCTGTGCATACTGCTCATGTGTCCTTGGGCAAGATGCTTAGCCGACAATCCCTACATTGTCTACATACACTGTTGTATGAATGTTTGTGTGAATAGGCTCATTGATAACATGTCCAAGAGGTAGGAAAACTGCTGAAATAAAAGTGATCAAATAAAATGCCTGTAATTATGTGTGTTTGCATGTGACAATATAAAATGAGTTTTAAGAAAAAGCCCATTCATTAACTGTACAGAAAGCTTCTATAGGCTGCCTTCATGGTCTAGAATTGAATGATACCATAATGTCAGATGGTGGGCAGGGGACTATAACTCCAACGGCGATTTACTGTTATTGAAGATATATCCTAAATAGATTTGATGAAACTAAAATGGATTTGTTTTCAATGGCACCGCTGTCTGAGGCTATTGTGTTAATCATAATTTATAGTATTTAAATGTTGAACTTTAATTTCAAAGATATAAACCATTAGGGCTGGGTGTCATTAAGAAGTTGCCGATACGATACATGCCCCGATACATAGGGCATGATATCGATACAGTGCACTTTCGGTACGATACGATATATTTCAAATTGATTTGATACGCTTCAATAAAAAATAAAGGCTAAATCATTGTTGTGATACTAAAAGTCTTTGTTAAACCATTTCTTGTGCAAAGTTAATATGAAACACAATCATTTTAATGATCAAAACTGTGAAAATATCAAATGTGTTGCATAAACGAGTTTCCTTCCTCTAAACAAGCAACAAAATTGTAGCGCTGTAAGAAAATCATTTAGTAAAATACACCAAAAAATATGAAATATTGATATTTTGATATTTTTGCACACCCCTATTAACCATAAATCAGGTCAACAAATCTGCAGTCTAACAGTTTGTCCTATATGACACAAAATTTACTCTTGTGAGCTTTAAGCCATGTTAAAATGTTGTTACCTCATCCAAAAACATACCTGGAGTTGTATTTTGTTTCATTCACACTGTTGTTGTGATCACAGTGTTTGAGTAATCACATCACAAGGTGGAACAGTGTTTTAAGTTTTGGAAATTTTCAGAGTTTGTGTGTTAAACGTGTGGGAATGAAACAAAACACAACTACACGTATCTTTGTTTGTGAAGAGGAAACAACATTACATGCCCTACCATAGAATTTTTACTCTTAACACTAAAGGATTCTAAAATGATATGATGGCATGGGGTTCAGTGTTTTGTTATAATCAATATTTTAGTTCATTTAAAAGATTTTTACCTGTTAATCGCTATGGCAACAATCCTAATTTCTCATCACTCTAACACCACGAACAGCCTATACCCAAACGTTTCTTATTACATATAGGTTTCCCCTTCCCATTACCTTATATGGACCTCGTGACCTTGGATGCCTCTCCCCCTTGTTTACCATTATTGAACGCGACAGCACGCAGACGTGGTTAAATGAAATCACTTATTCCCCACCCCACTACTACGCCTGTCACTTCGGAGCTCAGATGCCAAATAACACACTGCGGCCCTGCTAAATTCTCTTTAGCACGCCGCCGCACCTGTGTCATCCCCAATCATCAGGCCCTCGTAGGTTTTACACTACACAAATAAGCGCACAATAGCATCTGTGACACTCGGCTAGACAACTTATCTGTGACAACACTTTGGAGTCTCGCCGGTAATCTTTGATCAGCTTCGGTGCGATAAACATTGACTCGGTCCCCACAGGCGATCCACTCCACGCCGCCCGGGCATCATGGGAGGTAATAGAGTACGCGTCGTATCAGCCGCTGCATCCTCCTGTAAGTGCATACAAAGAACACTGGGTACACTCATTACATCAGACTTTCAGTGTGTGTTAACATGCAAAAAAGAATCATCCAAAACACCTTGTGACATGACTGTGTAACTTTTTGGCCAAAAATAGACTAAAACTTTAAACATGTTTATTGCAATGAAAATTATCCTTACTCTGAAGAGGTTTGCATCTTCACAAAGCTGACTCTTACTAGGCCTGGAGGAGGGCATTGTCCATCTTTCCCCATGGAAATGTTGTTCTTTTGACTATAATAATGGTACCTACTGATTTGTTCCTATGTACAGGAGAACTCTTGGTCAGTCCTTTTACTCTACTAAAGGGGCCAGACTGTGGAACTGTTTACCAGATGATTTAAAATTGGAAACCAAAAGCATAAATTTAAAAGTAAGTTAAAATTATTGTATGTTTCCAATCAAAACATACTGTATATATTTTATCTGTATGTAACTTATGTGTCTTGTCTTGTCTGTTTTTATGTAGGTAGTTTTTTTTTTCCTTATATGGACAAGTGTTGAAAACTAGTACTTGTACTAAAACACTCAAAGCAATGCATCTGGCTTGTCTAATGCAATTGTGATGTCCTTAATAAACATAAATAAAAAATAAATAAGCTTATCTATCTCCATGGTGAATATACTGCAGCATGATTTTAACTTTCTAAAATTGCATATTGTATAAACAGTTCTTGAGTTGAAAATATGTCTATATATTGTCCAATAATCAGGAAGTGCATGGACTGCATGCTAGTTGTTTTTAGTGACACGACAAAGTACACTGAATTTTAAAATGACTTTTTTTTTGTCTTTTCTCATTTTTGTTTGCCCCTTTCTAAGCACACTTGGGTATAACCAATCTGATTACTCCCATCAGATATAACTGTTTACATAACACATTTGACTTATCTGATATGTCCAGAATTCAGATCAAATGTTTGGTGTGCATGTAAACACAGCCACTGAGAAGTGCCACATTGAATAAATACATAGCCGCTACATTGAGCTGGGGAGCGCTTTACTCTTTCCTATTAATCCAAGCCATGGTGATTTATTACACCGTGCTTGTCAAGCACCATATAGTCCCCAGGAACCATTGGAGAAACAGCAAGAGTTGTTTAAGGCTAAGGCAAGTGGATGTACGACTGGTCTGGCTTTAAAAACAGCCACATAGCACAAAGGTACAAAAAATATATTGATCATAAAGTTTTAAATGGATGTCTTACCGGATATGGAGTTTTGCCAAAGTGTGAGGTTTGCTTAAGTAATTGGAACAAAAGAATGAATGGGTCAGATGTGTATGCGAGCTATTGATGCAAGTATACTGTATTAGCATGGGACCAATAGCATATTCTGATCCACATGAGGACTCAGCCATTTGATTATTGCAGGTATGAAAGGATCAGAGAGGCGGTGATGCAAGAGCTCCATCTAGTGGATGCAAGCGGCATGGTTGGAAAGAAACCGAACATAAGGGAACTACAGTAAATGAAATATTGTGAATTCTGTAATACTGGGTTTGACACATTGTTATATAGTTTTTTTTTTCTCCATATTCTTCATTATGTTGTTGTTTTTTTAATCTAAATTTGTACAATTTAAATAGCTTTTGTGAATTCTGTATACAACAAGTGGAGTCGTGTTGCGAAACTCCTTACAAAAATAATAAAATCTTCCATTGTACAAACCCAGTTGGAGTAGACAGGAGTCATACCGTACCAGACAGCAGTTTCAGAAAACCTCTCACAAAATCTCTATATTTTACTATATTTTCACTATCAAACTCTAGTGCCTCCTCTCCTCAAGTCCAACTTCTCCAACCACGCCATAAAACAGACCTTGAGGCAGAATTCACTTTGCGGACTACTTCTCAGGGTCAAGAATGAGCTCAGTCCTACAAACACACACTTAGGCTTTATTCATTTTCAATTTGACACAGTTACAATATATAAACCCACAGAGGACATCGGACACAAGGACACTTGGTAGACTATAAGGCCACTCCGCTTCCAGAATTGTCCGTTTGAGAGAAGACAGCGGCATTTCGACAAGTTGTGAAGTTACGGAGGAGAAAACAACACAAGCAAAAAGAGTACAGACAAATGGTTTTCTGTATGGCCAGCACTTTACAGACAATTGGTAGACATTTAACACATCAAAGATTCAACATTTGGTTTAGTCACTGCAATGCACTCAACTCTGCAATGCAAATCAAGCTTTGCCTAAAAGATTCAAGAACCATGTTATTAATAGGAATAGGTCAGCTACAATTAAAGCAGCACAACGTAACTTTTCTGATGAGTTAGAGTAGCCGTGATACTAAAATTTCACAATTTCGATACTCAATACCAATTCCCATACTATAATGATGATAAAAAAAACACTCTTTGGACAATAGGATGTGCTTCTCAACATTAAATAATAGTACTTTCTTTCATATCACCATTCAAAAGCTATTTAGGAAAGGTTAATTTCAGCCCTATGATTGTGACTTTTTAGTATAAATACTTGCTCAAATGAGTATCTAATTTTGATATTAGTTTTAGTATCGATTAGTATCTGACAAAGCTAATACAGATCTTTTTGCTTTTTCTGGAATATTCCAAAGTATCTTTCTTATCTTTCTCCATAAAAACAATCAGACAGTAAGACAAGATGTTTGGGTTTTTTGTTCAAGGAATTAAAACACCTGTAACTGAATAAATCCAAGATAGATACTGTGGAACATTCTAGCCAAGGCAGTACATTTTCCATGAAGATATGCACGTTTCAAACCCACCAGAAAAGTTACATAGTGCCCCTTTAAAGTATGGAAAGCAGTACAATGTTGTGAGTTGCTTGAGCGTTCTGAAATTAGACATAAGAACACAAAAGTTACCAGCTACGATACTATCAATGGACCATGATAGCCAACCTGATTGTAATTTTTACTAATAGAGGATATCTGAAAATATATATGAAACTAAATATTCGTATCTGAAAAAGTTTTTTTTTTTTTTTTAAATAAGACTTATTAAAGCATATAACACAGTTGTGTTTCAGTCATGACAACAGTATACCAGAAAATAAAACATGAATTTGTACTGTAGTGTTAAAGGGCCTATACCTGATTTCAAACCATGAGCCAAGAAACTTGAATTTTAACCCCAACTCAGGTAGTTTTTCCTACCACTATAATACTCCACTATGACAGAGAAACAAGTGTCTGAGATAGTGTTAGTTGGTTTCCCATTAATCTCAGTAACAATGTGCCTGATTGGATGAAAAAGAAGACCATGTCAGTAGCTTTTGTATTAGTAACCCAAGAAAACGCTATGAAAAATGAACAGCTAATATTTCACGGTTTATTTTTCTCAATTAATATCTTATTCAGCAGCTTTCACCATACAATTGATCATGTAAAGTAGATTTATCTTGACGAAAATAAAAGAAAATCAGGTACAGGCCCTTTTAGGTTGTGGCATGAATTGAAGGGACCATTTTCCACAGCTAGATGGTGCTGTGGAGCTGTGCTTACCACCACACTCCCCTCTGTTTCTCCCTCTCCCAACTCCTGTCTGAGCTGTGCCCTTTGTCAATACTCTCCCTCTCTCTTTCAGTCCTTTTCTCTCTCTCTCTGCCTGGTTCTACTTGGCTGGCATTGCCTGGGTTTCACCTGCCGAGGTCACCAGCTCCATGAGGCTGCCTGAAGCCGGGCGGTCCGTCCCTGTTGCCCAGTTGAAGAACAATCTGAAACAAGAGGAGGGGAATGAAAGAAGGCTTATTAATATTATATACTGTAGTTCTTAACCATATAAAAAGATAAATGTCTGTAAAGTTGGTACGCATTATATTTTAGTAATTCTATGAACAATAACCTAATAAGGGTTTACTTTGGGACATTTTCAGTCAAGGTGCAGTCCAAGTAGATGTGGGCAGATAATGAAGGCTACTGAATAGGTAGCAATTGTTGATCTGCATACTGCACTTAATTATGGACTGATGAAATGTAATTAACTTTTTAACTTTAGTTTGAACTGTATTTATTGACTAATTTTCATATATTGCACAGCAGTGATGGCAGCACAGGTGGATTGTCAAAAGACTGATTTCCCACTTGAGGGACAAAGTTAATCTGAAATATGAAATATTGAGTAGATTGTTTATTACAATAACAAAACAATCTGTTGTTTGTCTGCAGTGTTTCAAATAAGATTAGAAGTGACATTTCTGCACATTTTACATTTTACATATCGTACATCATTCAACATTCATCTGATACAGTATGTAACTTTCTGGAGGTGGCAAGTCACCTGTATGATTCCGTGGAAATATCTAATAATACCTGGATCCTACTTTGGGAATCGCTGCTTTGAAGAAATCATCAGCAACTGTTGTCTGAGCAATTACTTAGAGATAACAATGTAATATAAATCAAGAAAATAGCAAGATATGTTGCAACATACAACTTATTGAAAGACTTAAAGCACATTAAAACACGCCTAAAAAAGATTTAAGACTTACTCTGCGATGTACTCTAGTGGGGTCCACGAGCTGAAGTCGGCTTTAGGCATGAACTTCCTGTTCATAGGTGTATCCAAGGTAACCCTGCCAAACCAAGTCAAGTAACAGTCAGAGCAGAGGAGGAGGGGACTGCATACAGCACTGCACATGGCTGTCGGTCTGGACAATACAGACCGACAGACAAATCACATCAGCTAACATCATTCACACTGATCTAAATTTAGACTTTATTGTATAACTGAATTTACATTACATTATGCATCTTTTTTGGTAGAGGGTCTGGCATGTGCCTGCTTTTCTCAAGGTTTGTAGTTAGGCCTGCAACGATAATCAGTAAATCAATTAATCGTACGATAAATTTTAACGAGCTCGATAGAATTTATCGCAGCCAGAAAAGTTATTTGCATGCTTGTTCGTTTTCTCATTTAGAAAGTAAAGATTATTGATCTTTGAAAGGGTGCATTTGCATTTTTATTCCATGGTCATTATAATAGTTGAAAATGGTCTCAAAATGTCAAGATTATCATTTATTGCAATAAATTCTTCATCAGTTAATCGTCCAGCAAAATCTGTTATCGTTACAGGCCTAGTTGTAGTTGACTAAAGAAACTCTTGGTTGATTAAAAGACAAGTCCTGCCTAAATTAGAGACTAAAAAGCAGCGTGAAAAAAGCGCTCAAAACTTCTATGTATCTGACCGAAACTGCACTCACAAGACTAAAAATACCAAAAAATATTAATTCCTCCACTAACTCACCCACTTCTCTTTTCTGCTCTTTTAAGCCCTAATCGATTAACACTTTAACAATTTCTGTAATTTTGTGGTCTAAAAATGCTGGTACGTGATGGTGTGGCGTGACAACAGTACCGCGCGGTCGAGGCTATAGCAGAAAATGCAAGTCATGGGTCTAATGCTAAACAGATGTGACAGGAGAGATGGAGTAAACACGACCAAACAGAGCCCAACAGACACATACTCCCACTGAACACAATCTGGCATTCTCACCGTGACCAAGCACAAATAAAGCTAGGCAATTTCATAAATAAAATCCATTCAAAAAACACCCACGTGATTTATATTGAAATGGATTTTGTGTAAGAGAATTGTCAATATAAGCTGTCAGGTTTATTCTCATCGTGGATCTTTGAATGCGAGAAAAAGCCGGTGAGTGAATTGGAGGTAATGTGTTGTCTTTTGAATGTTTGGGTCTGTATTTACAGGCTGTTCCCAAACCCATCCATATCTATGTACAGAGATATAATGGAATTTAAAAAAAGGTTTGAAAAAACACATTTTTTTTTTATGGATGGTCTCTCGCCTGCTTGTTTACCATGGAGATGCTACTGCTTTGCTTGGAATGATGGTTTGTCTATTCTATATTTGTGCACGGCACTTTGTCCAGCTGTAAAGTGTTTAAAGTCCTTTATAAATAAAGTTGGCACGGTAAGTAATATGGCTGGGACAAGACACAATTTCCTCAAGACGAGATATGAGATTGGGTCCACCAGAGTGAAACAAAAATGTTAACATAATTCCTAAAGCATACATTGAATGGTTCAGTTTTCAATTTTAACTTCACAATTTTTTATTTATTTAATTTCATATGTTTTTTTTTCCATCTTTGTATGGCTTTTTGGAACTGTAAAAGCCGCTACACACTACAGTATTTTTCGGTCTTAAATGATTTTTAAACGTGCAACAAAAAGCACACACCACAGACACGAGGAGAATCTTACGAAATTTTAAATCTCTGATCACAAAGACTGTGGCGAGCTACAAAGACTGGACCACAGCTCGCGTCAGCTGTTTCCTGTCTACTTTAAAACCACTCGCTTTGAGACTCTTAAGTGTTCAGAATATCAGAGCATTGCACTTCTAGTTTAGACACACGTCAAAACTGTGTTATTATTTGTGAAATGTGGTGCAATACTTCGGATACATAATTTTGAAAGCATAAAAGATTGGCGATAAAGTCCACAGGAAGTAGAGTTACTATCGCTAATTTGCAACTTCACCTCGATGCATGCGCTGTGTGGATGTAAACAGACACACGTGAGGAGCTACTCATGCCTTTTTACTTTTAAACGCCTCAAGCTGGATTAACAGCGCTGTTTTGTGAACTGGATGTCTTTATTTGCGAAGGACAAATTCTATGGATAATGTGGATGAGATACTGCACTTTAAACTTGACACTTAACGAGAGGCGAGTAAAAAAGTCTTCCAACTATGTTTCGCTATATCCAGAGTTTGTATCTTGCGCCACTGTGTCCATCACTGCATCTGCCCCTGATGGCTGTTTTTTTTAGCTGTTGCCATAGTGTTGCTAATTGTGCGAATGGATCTGACAGAGCAGCTCAGAGTCACACGGACACCACACACACGAGGAGCGCAGCGGCTTCAAAATCGCACATGAAAGCAAAAAGTCAGGTCTCCCCTTCCCGAACTCAGAGAAAAGCCAAAATCGGCCAAAACTCTCCTGTAGTGTGTGGCAGCCTTAAGAGATGTAACTCACCTACACCTAACCCTTTATTCCATCCCTAGTAAGTAATGTTCCACCATTTGGCATCAACGTTATCATTCTAACTTAGATGTTTTTATTGCTTTCTTACTGTTGGGGGGCTTGCCTCTCCAAAGATTTGACTAGTAACTTAGCTGCATGTAACATAGGACCATATCAGGTGGCAGAGATTTACATAGTGCACCTTTCATTCTGTTTGGATTACAGTTACGTACATATTAAAAAGGTCCAGTTTTACAAGTTTAAACAACATATTTTAGCAACAAATGTTTCTGCCATGGACATCATGTTATCACCACTTTTTTTTCCCACGTTATATCTCTTAAAACTTAAAATCTTGCTCATAAAGTTCATATGTAATCCTTCCAAAATACATTTTTCAAAGCATTTAGTAATAGTTGTAAAAGCAAAACCCCTCAGAAACTAAGCGTTCAGATGACACAGTAAACTTTTAATGATTTTGGATACATTTTATCACTAATTCAGCCTGAGACCCCGAGGCGTTCATGTGGATTGTCTTCGTAATTGGGTTTTACGCACAAATGAAAAGTCCACAGTTGTTAGTGAGCATCTTCCCCCTTTCTGTAAAGTTGTATATTACTTTTGAGATTCATCTAGCCTTTTATAGTGCAATTATTTTCATCTCAGTACAAGATAACATTTAGAGAATATAGTCATGTTTGTGTGCAGTACTTACGGTAGAATTGCGACAGCTGTAGCTTCTGATGGCATCCCGCTGTTTTTGGCTGCCAGGCTCTGACACAGCTGATGGACAGCAGCTTTGGCCATTCCATAACCCACCATACCTGGAATCACATGCAATCTTTAAGTAAGCTGCTGCACTTTATAGCGGTATAGAACTATCCACGCACGTTTCAAGAAAATATATTGCAAAAATACCCTTAAACTATACGTGTTCAGTCCTTTACAAGCATAAAATGAAAACATGTTTTAACTTAATGACTTATTGGACACCAGTCTCGTACCATTTTTGCTACTTATTTAGAATTTATTTTTACCATTTACATTTTTTCGCTTTCATGTCATTATAATTTATTGTGATGCACGAGCATTTTCGTTTGGGGATCAATAAAGTCTAAGTCTAAGTTAATATTCCACTTTCATGACCGTCTAATATTACTTGTTATTTACCTAATGTTTAATACAATATTTGGAGAACAAATAAGAATAAGTACTGTATGTAGTAGGGGTGTAATGATATCTCACAAAGTCTCACGATACGATATAGTCACTGTATTTATTGCCATATCGTAGAAAAGCTCACAATATCGAGGGGAGGCTCACAATTAAAGATGTAACAATATCCAAATCTCTCAGTACGATATTTTTACGACATACATCTCAGAGGACGATATTTATTGCGATACTTTGTGAAGGTGAAACTTAATATGCTACTTTTTCCTCTTAAAATGCTTTGACAAGACTAAAAGTGTTTAGAACGGTTATTTCTTCTTGACGTCTACACTGAAATGGAGCAAAGGATCATGGTCAGTGTAGTTCCCTCTGTCTTTTTTATAGCTATTGCTGCACCATAACTCTTAATTTAAGCAAAGAGACTTTTAATTCGATATATTGTGATGGTCCACGATATTATAGTGAGAACTCTGATGATACGATATCACGATATTTCGGTTATTGTTACATCCCTTGTGTGTAGAAATAGTATGTAGTATGTAGTATGTAGTATGTAGTATGTAGTAATAGCGATATGTAATCCAACTAGACCTTTCACAATAACACATTTTGAAGTACAATATATTGTTGAAGTAAATCCAGTACAGATGATAAACAATAATATTGAAACCAAATCATAAATCATAAATTTATGTAATAATAAAAAAAAACATGAGCTGCAATTAAAAAAAACAAAAAACAAAACAAAACCAGAATGCTACTCTTAAGAAGTTAGTATGGATCTATAAGTTCAAAATTCAACCAGCTCAAATTTCATTGTAAAAAAAACAAAAAAACCAACATTTTCTCACCAGTGCAAAGAAAATATACATACATAAGTCAGTATAGCATTTATTCTGACAGGCCTGTATCCAGCCCTATGGTAACTACATTAAATATATATGTTCGAGAGCAATGGATTTGTTCTCATTTTATCCCAAGCAACTCCACTGTACTGTTTGAGTTGATCATTCTGACTGTGCAAAGTTGAAGCAGACTTTTGAACCCAGCTGAGGTGAAATCATAACCTACATTGATTGTGTAATCTTTAAAACTGTAAAGTCACCGAGTCATTCACAAGTACCATAACTACCTCTTACACATCTGGAACCACTACTCTACTCTAATAAAACCTTAGTGAAGAATTCCAATCTCCCTAAACCAATCACATGACAAGCGTGCTAAACAGTCTTACCAACAAGCAGCCAATAGGAGCGAGGGGTGGTGACGAGACTTTTTCTACCAGCTTTGGCTAAATCTGGGTTTAGACAAAAGGTGAAGATAGTGTTTAGACTGAGAGGCGTCTGAGAGCATAAAAAAATAAAAACATAAGTAAAAGATATTGAAATTGATATTAAAGTTGCATATGACAGACTACTAATTTCACAAAAACATAGTTCAAATTATTATTCATTATAGTAAATTATTGTTGTGTAATAATTTTTTGACTTCCTGATTGGACATGGTGGATGTATGGTATAATGCTTTTTTCTGTCCTGCGGTGTGACATCCTTCTGTAGCTAAATCAAAACATTTTCAAAAACTAATTGTAAAGAAGCCTTTTCACAAACATCACATTATTTTTTTTGTGTAACTCTTTTCATTTTAGACATTTGAACATGCCCTGCGGTATGACCTCTCCTGTCACTGGAAGATGATCTTTTTAACAAATAGAAAAGTATTTTGTTTTGTTACACCACAGGACATCACACTGGTGGAAGTTCAAATTTTTTCAGAAAAGTTGGATTCTCCAAAAATAAGGGTTTAAGATGCACGTCAAATTGAATACTTATCATTTTCTTAACCCCAGAGCTCTTCCTTGTGCATAAAAGACAGATGAGAATCTTCTGGTCTCTTTAAGTCAGTGATTTTTCATATTACCCTGTGGATTACAGCAATAAACTGCTATCTAAATTTTAGATTTAGAGCAGCGATAAAGGTGAAATCTTATTAAATAATGTACACAAGCTTCCCTTTATGCCCTTTACTCCTTTATGAACCATCACACAAAACTCTCATTCTAAATTTTTGTTACAGTGTTAGAGTCACACTGCAGGACATTTGAGTGTTTAGTGTTAAAATACAAAGAAATGACACACAACTTCATTCTAAAACTATATGCAATTTATATAATACATATTTGTGCACAGATAAGTAAAATTTTGCCACTTAACTGATGTAAAACTATGATCAATATTTACGACAGGTACTATTCCACCAAAAAAACAAGTAAACCTGTCATATAAACTTTAAAGGCGTGTCCGAGCACAAAAAGGCATTATAAGTCAAATATACTGAAATTGCTTAAATGATTACTTTATCCATTTGGACATGGCACCCGCATTTATTGGCTACTTTGGAGGTGGTGTGAGGTAATGTGAGAATCAATACAAAAATCAATAAACCACAATGTTGATTTTAAAGCACTATTCATTTCCATGCGTTATGTTGGCCAAAGGAAATGCCATACACATTTGCAATGATTAGATGTTAGATTTTGCACACTAAATATATCCTTGGTAACAGTGTTGCCATAAATCTAAATGAAAGGATTGGATTAGCCGTCCTGCTGCCCATAAAACAGCATTACAGTGTATTTTTAGACACAGACCCTAAGTGACACAGACTGGATCCTCATCTAACTTAATTTACAAAACAGAAATACTGAGCTACTAGGGGTGTAACGATATCCAAGACTCATGATACGATATCGTCACAGTATGAACCTCACAGTACGATATTTATTGCAATATCGTGGAAAAGCTCACGATATGGTGAGGAGGCTCACGATTACAATATCCAAATCTCTCTGTATATTTTCACGATATAAATCTCACGGTACGATATTTATTGCAATCTTTTGTGGAGGCAAACAAAAGTGTGAATATGCTACTTACTTCATAACTCTTAATTTAAGCAAAGAGACTTGTAATTCGATATATTGTGATTGGTTATAGTTACATCCCTATGAGCTACACATATTTATTTAGGTGCACTATGTAATGTTTTGTTACATGTTTATCTCTTTGGAGACAACTAATAAATATAAATGACATAAATGCTTTGCTTAAAGAAGACATTGTGCTTTTGTTTGCAGTATAGTTGTATCATTATACTATAATTTGCATATTTTAAATTGAAATGTACATGTCCCTAAACGTCATCACAACAAAGAGCCACATGCTGTCAGCTCCTCCTATGGATAGTGGCAGAGTTTTTTTTTACTTGTATCAAAATTACTAAGTAACTGCCGAATCCTAAGTGTATCATCAGTTAAGAAAATAAAATTAGAGAATGAAGTAAGCAGAGAGCAGCGGGTGGAAAACGGGTAGATCAGAGCAATGACGTCTTGAAAACAGGAGAGTAGAGATTACTCAAACACGCACAAAACCTCCAAGAATATAAATGGGAATGAAAAATTATAACATGTTTAAAAGCTCTATAAAGTCGATTGTGCATAATAGGTTTTCTTTAATGTGATTGTGATGGTTGCTGTTTTTATGTAAGCCTACGATATCATCTTCTGTCCACAAAGAGGCTCAAATTACCACTATTCATTTCCATTTCAAACAGGACTGATAAACTGCTATTAGATTCAACAAGGACTACAATATCAGGGATTCTAATTTTCCAACTTCACTTTACAATTTGCTTATTTTATCAATCTCTCTGTACTAAACCGCATTCTGACCACTCCTTGAAGCCTCTTTTGTCTAAAACTGCTGTTGTGCCGTACTGTAAGCCTAGTACAGTGCGAAGAGAACAATGGATAGCCCTGCTCTGAACACTTTTAGTTAACAGAGCCTGTCCATATGGATGAAGTGTGGGGCTGTAAATGCTGAGTCATGGCGTCTAAGCCGCATCCAATGAGCTTTGAGGCCCTCTGCTGAGACAGGGGTTGCATTGATTTATACCTGAGCTGGTCACATGGGGCAGATGAGGGGAGGGGAGGAGGGGAGGAGGGGAGGGAGGTAAGAGGTGAGCTGGTCTTCACATGTGACAGACGACAAAGGCTATAGGGCCACACACACAGCAGCGGGCGGGTGGGTTCTGATCATGTGACAGTGACAGTGACAGGATTTGTAAGTCTGAGTAAAGCCAAAAGTGTGTTTACAGCATTAAAAGTTCATATTTTTGTAATTCCTGCTTATCAACGTAAAATAAAGTGACTGAACGATGTTTGGATTGGATTGAAAGAGGCTTTCAGCTGAAATATTCACTTTATTTATATAGCACATGTAACAACAACTACCAACAACTTCCAACAACCACCACCACACACCAACCCACAACAACTGCAACCACCCAACAACAAACAACTACTAACAACAACTACCAGCAACTACAACTACTACTACTACTACTAACAACAACAAACAACTACTAACTACAACTACAAACAACAACTACTCAACCACCAACAACTACTAACAACTACAACAATTACAACTACTAACCAACTACTACCAACAACAACAAACAACAAACAACAACATCTTCCACAACAACCACAACTACAACTAATAACACCCACAACAACTAACAGCAACTATCACAACAACTACTAACAACTACCAACAACAAGTACTAACATCAAAAAAGTGGTAAAATAAATGCTCAGATTTAAATCATACTAGTCCTAAAACAATAAACCTGTAACATAAAAAAGCAAAACCACAGAATAGCAATAAATAAATAAAACCAATAAAATACATTAAAAATAAATAAAAGACACAGAGGACCACACAACTCACGTGTTATTACAAGCCAGATAATAAAAGTGGAGCCGCTTACTCAGAAACAACATGGTTTTTAGTTTTACAGCCCTGCCCTCAGGAAAAAAGTGAACAGTTTGGTCAATAATCACTGTTGCGCTCCTCCATGCGTAACGTCTTAGGACATCCAAGGTACAGATAGTGTGTACAGGTGTACCCCTGCAGACGCAACTGACTCACTGCATCAGAGGAGGACGCCACTTTAACGGTTTAAATGACAACACGGCACGCATGGAGGAACATGTGTTATCCCTAGATGCCTTTAGGGCTGGGTATCATTCAGAAGTTGCCGATACGATACATCCCTCGATACACAGGCCATGATACAATACATATCTTGATACAGAGACCTTTCGATTTGATGATGTATTTCAAATTAATTTGATACAGTTCAATAAAAAGGCTAAAAGATGGCTGTGATACTAAAAGTCTTTGTTAAACCAATTATTGTGCAAAGTTCATATGAAACATGCACATTTTAATAATTAAAACAGTGAAAATGTCAAATGTGTTCCTTCCTCTGAACAAGCAACAAAACTGTAGCACTGTAACAAAATAATTTAGTAAGATATACCAAAAAAAAATACTCTTAGTGATATATCAATACAGCAGCCCAAAACAGATACTGTATCATCACATTAAACGATACGATATATATCGATATTTCAATATTTTTGCACACCCCTAGATGCCATACTTCATTTTAAAGCATTTTTAAAGTGTGTTTGACAAGCCATACATGTGTTTTTGATTCAACAGTCATGGAAGCTTAAAGCAGCCAGAGGTCGGAAACACATTTTAATCAACATTATAAGCCAATTTGAGCCAAAAGGGAAATGCCAGGCCTCATTTTTAGCTCAAAGCCTCCAGAATCCACACATACATTTGATCATTGTGCAAAACACAGTATTATGATCTTCACCAAAAGCTAACGGAGGCAGCCTGGGCCAAAGTTCAGAGGCCTCAAGTCAGTCTCATGGTGTACATTATGGAGAGGCTCTTTTGATTTATTGTGAAATGTTTTTTATGCATAAATTCTTTAGCATGAACTCCTGTGCAAAAGCTACAGATGACACAGCTTTTGTCAGCAAGAATTTCCTTAGTCGACTACAGTCTTACAATTAATCGTAATCTGCATTTCTGAGTGCCTTAACATCGCTATCTGCTCTAAACAACTAACAAGTAATCGGGCTCTTGTACTGAAATGTTCTTGTCTAAATTGTGACGTCTGACAGGTTCGTTCAAGGCGACAGAAGCTATAACTGAACCAATAAATACTGCTCAGCGTTTAGTCCACGCGGCTGTGTGAATGCTGACTGTCTGCTCCTGCACAACATATCAGCATTTCTCACTTCTATCCTTTGTTATTTCATTCCAAGGATCCATTTTATCGACATTTCCCTTCAGCTTCTCCATCCCTCATTCAAAACCCTGCAGCGCATCCTCTCACTTCTGTTATTCGAATTGACAGTTTAGACAGCAACCTATATGCGCAATGTAGTGTCCAGTATGTGTAATAAGAAGAATCCCTATGTTAACATGGAGCGGGAGGACAGGTCAGAATCCGGTAGAATTGGCTGTTAATTGCCAGATTGCAGATTTGTTGACCTGGTTCTCTGTTCTCTAGCTCATCTCTGTGCTAGTTTTGATTTCATAGGTTCACTAATAACAAAGTTCAACATTTAAATACACTAAGGTGAGCATATATAAGGCTACATTCAGACTGCAGGGCTTAACGCTCAATTTGGATTTTTTTGAGAGGTCACTCATGTGATCTCCACTGTGAACTTTAAACACGACAATGTCACATGCAGCGAGTGTGCTCAGTGCTTTCAGAAGTAGCCTAAACGCTGGGCTTGTCTCCCAAAATACGGTCCAGTTTTTCATAAAATGGACAGGTTACACGTCCAAGGCAGCTTAGTTTGTTTGAGTCTTTAGCCTCCTTGTATTTGGCTTGCAGGCTCTTTTTTGTTGACATTGGAGCCAGGATCGAATGTACCCGAGCTCGGCTATTTCTTTGGCAATCATTTCAAAAACCGCCCGATTCTGATAAGACCCCTCCAATTTGGCCTGAATACAGCAATCCCCCTAAATATTAATGAACTTGCTAACCTCGCTTTCTCTCCATTGACTAGACTCTGAGCCTGTCATGCAGGTGGGATGAATGTGACCTGGCTGTTCAGTCTGAAGTCGCGTGTCAAAAGATTGGATATGTATCTGTTTTAGGAGCACATATCGAAGAGGCCTGGGTCACATTTGAAAAAAACTGGATCTGTGTTGTTCAGACTGTCATCAAAAGATCAGATATAGGTCGCATAGGGGCGAATTTCTAAACTTTTTCATGAACTAAAGTGAATTTTACATGACTTTCTGGCACCCTACATGTGTAGAATTGATCAGACTTTTAAGGCTAAATATGAAATGTTAACCCTTTCCACTCACTTTATGGTTTGGTATTACAGTTTTTGACATTCAAAATACTGTCAGTGCATTTATTGTCGTCTCTTTTAAACAAAAGGCGCATACTTTTGGAAATAATCAAAATAGCCTAAAGATAACTTAACAGAATGCTTTAGGTGCATGAGATACTAAAATTCCATGAATTTTCCAGGATTTCCATGACTGTGGGAACCCTGGACATCTTCAAATTTTAAAACGAGAACATAACTTATACGTCTAGATGGGAAAGTGAGGAGATGTCCGTCTGGTTTTGGTGATTGTGATGTGGGGAGTGAACACAAACCTCCAGTCCCTGAGAGAGCAGCTTTAGCGCCGGCCAGAGTGAGCAGTCCACCTGGTTTAAGATGCAGAGCGGCCAAGTGACTGGAGATGGTGGATGTCCACACACTCTGCTTCCACATCAGGTCTGCGTTCTTGTATAAATCTGAAAAAAAAAAATAAAAAATTATAATAAAATAAAATAAAAATGAAGAATAATAAAAATAAAGGTCATTTTGTCTTGGGTGCTTGTGTGTAAGGTAAAATACAACAGCTATGACAAAATTAGTGATTAAAATTATAACAATATTTGAATCCATTGCCAAAATAAAACATGTATCATAAAAAGCAAAGGATACAATTACTAGACTCTCATTGTACTTTCATATTTTGTTTTACAGTTTCTCAGGTTATGGTACACTATGCTAAAATGCCTGTGATTCTTAAAATAGTTTACTCTTCAGTCCTCTCTAAAAGTTAGTTGAATTTAAAATATACCTAATTAAATAAAGACTACATCTACAAAAATATATAATGTATAATGTTATCAAAAGCAAAAACAAAAACAAATCAGCGATATCCAATTTTTGTATTTTATTTTTAAAACACTTGCCAACTGGACATGTTTTGGTGCACATTGCTTGAAATAAATGACGAGTCTGATCTAAATGCCACAGATAATGACAGCAGTAAACAATGTTGAGAGTCTGACCTTTGGAGCTGCAGTTTCCTCCTGCCCAGCCTCCAGCCACACACAAGATGGCATCCACCTTCTGTTCCCCCAGCAACTGAGACACGTCTGCGGTCACCTGCTCAGCACAGCACAGATATCATCGGTTTAATAAAGGCAAGGGAACAGCCAAATTACGTCATGGCAGGGCAGTCATTCATAACACTAGCAGCCTGATATTGTTTAATGGAAGCACTTGTAAATGAGTTTGCAATTTGCAAATGTTGTTGTGCTCATTTAGGGCGATGTTAACAAATACTGGTAACAACTACAGCTCCATTCAATTACATAAACTGCATAAATTAAAAACAATTTAAAACACCTATTCTGCATGTATATGGGTGCTTGTTGTGTCCCCACCAAAAAAAAAAAAAAAAAAAAAATCAAGAAATCTGAAAAGATTATTTAAAAACATTAATAAATTCTAAGTCTGGGGCTGTTACCGTTTGACACTACAGAAAGAACAGTTTAAGTTAATCATGATTTTAATTATGTATCTTCTTAGCCAAAACATAGACTAAAATAAGAGTTGGGTCTTTTTTGGGTTGTGTTTATTGCTCTAAAATACATAAAAACCTGCATAACTTATTGTGAGCGAGCTTGCATCTCCACAAACCTGACTCTTATTTGGCCTGGAGGAGCCCTCCTCCTGCTTGTTTCCATGGAAAAGTTGTTCTTTGGCTATAATTGTCTATAGTGTGACATAAAACATACATCTATCTTCACCGAGAATATTTTAACTCTCTATTTCCATGGAATCATGCAGGTGATGTGCCACCTCCAGAAAGTTAAACATACAAATTGCTAAATAACATAAAACATGTTGGAACTCACATTAAGAGCATGCTTTTTTTTTTTTTTTTTTTTTTTTTTTTTTAAATCAAAGCAGAATTATCAAATTTAAATCACATACTATTAAGAGTGCTCATTTGTGGATAGAATCTACTAAGTTTAATACATAGACATACACACACTTTAAACAGTCTAAGCTTGTACTTTGTCCTCACGCAATACTCAAATCAGTGCACAGAAAAGCATTAAACAATTTCCCTTGTGGATCAATAAAGTCTAAGTAAGCCTCAGGTGAACACAATTTATAGTCATTATGGAAAATGTAGTTTAGATTATTCTTTATTTGTCCAGGGCCAAGTATTGTACAAATATATTAATCTTACAAAATAAAAGATTATAGGTCCTATATTATGCAGTATTTACTCCTGTGAGGTTTTAGCCATGTTCATATGCTGTTATCTCTTCAAAAACATACCTGGAGCTGTGTTTTGTTCCACTAACACGTTTCTGTAATCCTGCAGTATTAGTCTACAGTTCCAAAGCTCAAAATGCTCTATTCTACCTTGTGATGTCATGAATTGTGGATTAAATTGACACATTTTAAACTCGACACACACACTTTAAACAGTCTAAGCTTGCACTTCGTCCTCGTGCCACACTCAAATCAATGCACAGAAAAGCACTAAACAATCACAGACCTTGATCGCAGTAGCATAAATGTCTCATACGCATGCTCTGTTTAATCCTACGCATACACACGGCTGTCAAAATATTACTAGGAAAAAAAAAAGAAGAAAAAAAAGCAAACATCCCATTTGTCAATTTGCCAACACAACTCACCTGTCCAGCCTGCTCCATAAAAGACTCACTCATCTTCACTATGACATTCTCGTCTGCTTCCTCGTTTGCTGCCATATCGACGCTAGCCACCCACTGCAAACAAACATAATTTAGTTTATACTCGCAGCTGATCGGAAAAGTAGAAAAGTGACATGTGTTAGCATTTAGCATCGTGTTAGCATGAGGGACTTCAGCCTGCGAGCTTACCCAGCCTTTGGACCTGAAATGCTGCACGATCCTGGAGCCCAGAGCCCCTCTCCCTCCGTACACGATGACCCTGTTAGCAGCCATGGTTGTCCGGGTTTAGCAGCGGGGACAGCGGGGTGGAGAGCGGCTGAATGGAGGCTGGAGGAGAGGAGCACGGGCTAAATACACGGAGCGGGCAGAGAGGAGCGGGGGGCGGACACACGGAGGGGCGGACACGGATTGTGCAACAGGTCCGCGGGAACTAATGCTCCCTGCGTGAGTTTTGGTGTTGTTGTAATTGCACCGCCATTCCCATAGAGGGCGCGCATGTCCTGTTTTTTTCTGGAGGTTTTTTATTTATTTATTTATTTATTTAAATTTATTAATATATTTTTTTTATTTTTTTGTTTAGGTTGTTTATTTTTCAGCGGGAGTGTGGTTTTCTCAGTTTTCTTCAGCAGTCGCATGAAGCTATCAAAATGGTCAGATTTAGGTTGGCTATTAAATTAGATGAAGAAATGCTCGAAGTACTGTCTCATCTTTCATACCCTGCACCACAGTGAGCAACGAACGGGTCCAACACCGGCGACCACGAAGGGACCGCTTCACGACAAAATACCGGTGGTGAGATTGGAAACAGACAGTAAAAGTTCAAAGACGCTAAGGTCATGGCGGCTGCGAAAGAGTACGAGGACGTATAAGGACCCGTTGGTTATCGTGGATTTTTTCACATGGCTCCACTCTGTCACAATGCATGATACAGTGTCAGTACCAGTTCACCCAATACGCGCAGTATGCACATTGAATAGGGCCTCGTAAACCAATAGAGGCCCCTTACCTTGACGTTACCCCTTCTCGCATACGCTCCGTGGACCCATAGACCGTATGTGTCTCCTGCTGCTCCCATAAGCCACGTTTCCTCCCGTACAGCGCGTGGACCATGCCTCTAAATCAGAACTAAACCAGGACTAAAACCAGGACTAAACCAGAACTAAACCAGGACTAAAACCAGGACTAAACCAGGACTAAACCAGAACTAAACAAGGACTAAAACCAGGACTAAAACCAGGACCAAAACCAGAACTAAAATCAGTTTTAAACCAGGACTAAAACCAAGTCTAAACCAGGACTAAAACAGGACTAAAACAGGATTTAATCGGGACTAAACCATTAGGTGCAGATTGCAAATAATTGATCGATGATTCCGCATCATTTTGAGTAAAAAAAAACCATCAAATATTACTGATTTTCACTGGGCTGGTGCCTTTTTGTTTGTACTGTCAGTGAGTTTTTTTTTTTTTTAAATAAATAACCTGGGTGTAAATAGCATTTTTGTCTAGGAACACCCGAGTGCCCTTCTATGTGCCACGCTAAATACACCCGGGTGTAAATAGCAACAATGGCTATTTGCCCTATGTGTGAATAACAATGTTAACTATTTACACCCAGGGTGCAAATAGCATCTGCCATCTTTTTTGCTACTAATTTTGAATTTATTATTACCATTTATATTTTTGTTCTTTGTTATTATATTATATTGTGGTGTGTGTGCTCCGCCAGGGCTGCCCTTTGTCACCGGTTCTATTCATTGTATTTATGGACAGAATTTCTAGGCGCAGTCAGGGGCCGGAGGGGGTCCGGGTTGGGGACCACAGGATTTCATCTCTGCTGTTTGCAGACGATGTTGTCCTGATGGCTTCATCGAACCAGGACCTGCAATGTGCACAGGGGCGGTTTGCAGCTGAGTGTGAAACAGCTGGGATGAGGATCAGCTCTTCTAAGTCCGAGTGCACCGGATGGATGGGTCATGGAGGACTTCTGGGGTCAGTGAGCCGAAAGGACAAGATCGCGGATACAAGCACTTGAAATGAGTTTCCTCCACAGGGTGGATAGAGATAGGGTGAGGAGCTCAGTCACACTGGAGGAGCTCGGAGTAGAGCTGCTGCTCCTCCACGTCGAGAGGAGCCAGTTGAGGTGGCTCGGGCATCTGTTCCGGATGCTTCCTGGGCGCCTCCCTCGGGAGGTGTTCTGGGCATGTCCCACTGGGAGGAGGCCCCGGGGAAGACCCAGGACACGCTGGAGGGACTATGTCTCTCGGCTGGCCTGGGAATGCCTTGGGGCTCCCCCGGAGGAGCTGGAGGACGTGTCTGGGGTGAAGGAAGTCTGGGAGTCCCTGCTTAGGCTGCTGCCCCCGCAACCCGGCCCCGGATAAGCGGAAGAAAATGGATGGATGTGGTGTGTGTGCTATTGTGTCCAAATAATTTCCCTTGTGGATCAATAAAGTCTAAGTAAGGCTAAGGTGAACACAATTTATAGTCATTATGGAAAATGTAGTTTTCAAATGTATTAATCTTACAAAATAAAAGATTATAGGTCCTGTATTACGCAGCACTTACTTCTGTGAGGTTTTAGCCATGTTCATATGCTGTTATCTCCTCAAAAACAAACCTGGAGTTGTGTTTTGTTTCACTGATGTGTTTCAGTAATCCTGTATTATTAGTCGGTCTGCATCTCCAAAGCTTAAAATGCTCTGTTCTACCTTGTGATGTCACGAAGCAGTAGTTTTCAAATTCTTTAACATGTAGTTCAATAGAGGGCAATTCTAGGGGTGACATTATCTATATGATTCTAGTGGAGGTGTAATGGTACAGTGCTTTTGGTTTGAAAGAAGAACTCAGCCTAAATATGCAGGGTTTGTGCATTTAACATGTGTGAATGAAATAAAACACAAGTCCAGGTCTGTTTTTGATGAGGAAACAACTTTATAACATAGACCAGAAAATAGTGCAATATGAGCCCTTTAACTGTACCAGATTTGACTACTGCTACTTTCCATCTGTCCCTCAGCAGGTGAACTCACAATAAAATATCTATTACATTATAAGACAAACTTAGCTTATCAATAACATAGCACGGTAAAATATAATAAAATATCACCATCATGTTTTCTGCTACAGTCCATACAAATATTATTATGGTCAAGTTTTTATTGCGAAACAGGTGTATAACACATATTAACTGGCATGGCCTACCTTACTGTTTCTATTGTAAAACAAGTTACAGCAATGTTTAGGTTTTAAAAAATATTGTACGCACTGGATTATATCAGGTTTTAGATGAAATAAATTGGCTAAGTTAGAAGAAAAAAAGGTTCCTGAGTGCTGAAATGATCCTGGTATGTCGCCTAGTGGCTTGCTTGGTTTCATCCAAAAGAAATACCCCGCTACAGAATTGTTAATAAAAAAGGAATATAAAAAGATATAAAAAGAAATCACCAATGTTATCAAACCATTTAAAACCACATCAGCTTTTGCCCAGTAGGGGGGATGAAGGATAGGTTGATTTTCTCTAATAAAACCTTTTTTTTTTGGTCCTAGTAGCTTCATTTGTAGTCATGTGACTGTCTCCATGTTCCAAGAGACAGACAAGCATTGTGTATTTGGGTTTTACTGTTGTATTGTTAAACACTTTGGTCAGCTGTGGTTGTTTTGAAATGTGCTACACAAAATAAAGTAATTTAAAGTATGAATATGCTGCAAGAGAATTGATTTCATTAATTCAAAGTAAGTACGCTACAGCATTTTCTCTATAGCCTCTTTCCTGCAATACTTTTTTTCCCACACCAAAACAAACCATTCTGGACAATAAGTTACCCATAGAGCACTCAAGGACACAATACAAAATACAATGTCCTTCGCCTCTTTTAGCACTATCCCAAATGTGTTACTGCAACCTTGGCTGATCTGCAGTGCCGATTTCTCCCACCAGGGGCTGCCCAAACACCACACACGGTGCTCACATCATACTCCTAAACATCCCATTATTTCAGAGCAGTGCCCGAGCAGAGTGCAGAGTGCTAGCGATACATCCATCCAGCCTACCCCTCATGAATAAAACAAGTGTCCCAGCTTTGGCTCCCTCTGTCAGGGTACGGGCTTCTGATCTGTCACCCCCACCTCCTCACCACACACCGGGCAGGCTGCCATGGCGACTGACACACTGCTGCTTTGTCTGATGACCGCTCCGTGCAAACACAGTATACATGTTTACGTACAGGTAAACAAGGGAGTCCTGACATCTGCCATTCAGAAAATAACAAGCTATTGTGTCCTCGAGCGAGACAATTCACATGCTTGGCTGTCAGTGTGAGGTATGGGAAAACATGTGGGTGAATCCTTAATGTAGTGTGATTTAAGTGCATATCCAAAATGAAAATAAAAATTGTTCAAATTAAAATTAAAATTTCCTGATTCCAATTGTGAAGGCTGCAGATTCTGTTCTCACACTTTGTGAGTGTTCTTTGTGTTGTTTTTGTCTCATAAGTCAACCAAATACCGTATTTTTGGACTATAAGTTGCACTTTTTTCATGGTATGGGTGAACCTGCGACTCCAGTGCGACTTATATATTAAAATTTTCACACTGACAGCCGCGAGAGGGTGCTCTAGGCTTGTGTGTCAGTATCTGTTACTCCTGTTACTCCTGTACCACTGTCACTTCACTCTACTGCGAATGTCTCCTGCAGAAAGAGCCACTGTCCTGCCTGGGATCATGTCAGTCGATCGCACCTTTACTTCCGTACCACTGACAACTGAGGAGACTAAACACAAATGTCCCCAAAAAGAAAATCATATTTTGCAGGAGGGTGCACCATGCAACTTTCCTGGAAGTCATTGGATGGATCGACAAAACCTGGATTTCAGTGGCAACCGAAATCATCCTGTCAGGATTCAGAAAGGCCAGAATAATTCTAACTGGAACTGATGCTGAGTCTGACGACAACTATGCAGATGATTATCTGCTGTTTATGCTATAGTTATAAGAATAACTGTTAATATGTTACGTCAACATACCAGACACATAATATTCAGCCTGTTGTTCTCTGTTCTATTGTTACTATATCTTGCCTTTCAAGATGAAATGTTGGTTCCTGGTCTCTGATTTTCTAAAATAAATTTCCCCCAAAAAGCGCGACTTATATATGTTTTTCTTCTTATAGTCAGAAAAATACGGTAAATGAAAAATTAAACTATTAACAATTTGTTTTAACTGAGGTGGAATTTATATTATCTTATGTTTATCTAGCAACATCTATAGCTACTCATATCTCAAAAGATTTATCAAAAAGATCATGTCTTTACAGGAAATGTTGGAAAATTGTACACATAAAACGTCTCCTTTTTATAGAGCTTGGGATTGTGACGCCACACCTCAAAGAAATTTCAGTGAGCCTAATGTTAGACCAGTGGAGATTTTAA